AGAGTTATCTTTTGATAGTTCATTAACAGGACTATTAATATCGTCATCAAAGTAGTTGTTACAAATACACTTAATATCTATTTTTTTGCAAATATCACAATATTTCACCATGCAATTATTAGCCATATGACCTAGTTGGTGGCATCTTCTACACTCAATTTTGGGGCAATTAGCTATAATATGAGTGTCTTGTAGACATTTGTGGCACACTTTCGTCTGATTGTTATGAATAACACGAAAACTTTTCATTCCATGAATAGTCTCAAGCTTCACGGCCCATGGGAGGGATTTGACTTCTGGGGGGAAAATACATCTGACGTGGCGTATTCCATTTTCTATGGTCTCGTATTTATCGTAGAAATGTCTTATTATCTTACCTTCGATTTCGATATTATAAACTTTGAGTTTATTAATAAGAACAATATCCTCAATATATGAAGGTATATCCATAAAAGAAACAATTGTATATGGCGAATATGGGAATTTGCACTCATATGTCGTATCCTTTACGATTAATCCATCACACAGCTTATTAGCATTTTCCTTTGAATCAATAGAAACTTGTAAAATGTTTGGTCTACATTTGGTCACAGCATACACATTACCAATTCCAACTACATCTTCAATTTCATCAATAAATTCAGCAATGTTAATTTTTGACAAATCACCAACATCAATATCTAATACAAACTCTTTAGAGTAAACACGGGAATTCATTTTCACACACTATAACAACGATTAAGCGACGATTAAGTTTTAGTCCGTTTACACTATAAGTCCAGTTTAACGCTTCAATGAATCTCAGAGCTCACATTATACGTGTTGACCGCTCGCCGACAGTGATAACCTACTGTGTCAGTTGTGTAAAGGCGCTCGTACGACCACTTACGCAATTGCGACCGCAATTCACAAGTCGTCGTGGCCGAGTGGTTAAGGCGATGGACTAGAAATCCATTGGGGTCTCCCCGCATAGGTTCGAATCCTATCGGCGACGGTTATCATTTTTACGGTTTGATATCATTGCTCTGCTGTTGTGCTGTTTACAGAAACCACAAATATATTTTCTAAAAAAAGTAAGGTTCTACCGAGACTCGAACTCGGATCGCTGGATTCAGAGTCCAGAGTGCTGACCATTACACCATAGAACCGTCAATTCTGACGATAAATGTTGATCCTTTGCCGAATATATCGACCAAGTATGGCTTTCAGGTTTTCTTTAGACTATTTATAACTCTGAAAAGATTTCATCGACCATCGGCAATGGCCCCTTAGCTCAGTCGGTTAGAGCGCCGTGCTAATAACGCGGATGTCATGGGTTCGAGCCCCATAGGAGCCAGAGATCTGTTTTGTTTTACCTACG